TTTTACATTTCTAACATTCAATTTTTGTTTTTGATTTTGTATTTACATCTTTCATCTACCTGTAAAGCTAAAGGTTGTAGGCAAGGTGTCAATATATAAAAAGACACCCTGTACAGTTTTTGTCGAGTGTACGCCACTGGTATTTTCCTGTTCCTGACAACTCTAATAAAAATTTAAAAATAAAATCTCATTATTTTTCTGATGAGGTTAAAGAACAAGTGTTCCAAAGACGAAACGTCGGATTTCAAATTTGATAATGCATTATTGTAGAGGAGAAAATTTCCAAAGGACCCCCCGCAATATTTAAACGGAAATTGGTTACCCGTGGTATTTGGATGAAATTTAAATATGTTATTAGAAATGCCGTAAGCACTAATTTTTACCATGAGCGCAACCTTGTATATATGACGGGTGAGACGGTATCAGCTGTCAAATATTGAAATCTAGAATTCGAAAGCAGGGTAACTATGGCAAATTTTGATGAAGAAAGTATCGATTTCCAATAAGTCGACCAAGGAAAATCGGAAAATGTCAACCGTTTTGACATCTGTCAAAACCCTGCCAAACGGCAGCACTCATATTTTTCAGTTTTCAATATTTCATGATGTGTCATTTGACAATTTCAACCTGACGGTACATTCAGGCGGTGCCAGCGGCTAAGCTCAGCCACTCAACAAAGCTGTCAGAATCTGACATTAGCTTTAGTTGAAAAAAAAAATTAACTCTAGTTCTGTTCTAATTATTTAAGTTATGCTTATTTATTATGAAGCATAAAAAAACTTTATGCACAGGTTTCAGATTTTGACAGCTGTCTATGAGCTTTGCTTAATGTTTTACTGGATGTTTTATTCCAATAAATTACCTTAAAATAAAAAAAAAATACAGATATGAATAATCAACTCAGAATATACATAAGCTAAAACTGTCAAATGACACATCATGACACAGGTTGAAATTGTCATATTGAAATATTGAAAACTGAAAAATATGAGTGCTGCCGTTCGGCAGGGTTTTGACAGATGTCAAAATGGTTGACATTTTTCGATTTTCCTTGGTCGTCTTATTAGGAATCGATACTTGCTTCATCAAAATCTGCCATGTTACCCTGCTTTTGAATATTAAATTTCAATACATATTTGACAGCCGATACTGCCTCACCTGTCATATATACAAGGTTGCGCCTATGGTAAAAAATGTTGCTTACGACATTTCTAATAACATATTTAAATTTCATCCAAATAACAGGGGTAACCAATTTCTGTTTAAATATTGCGGGGTCCATTTGGAACCGGTATTTTGGTGAGCAAAAAATTGCGTAACTTGTCCCAATTTAACCGACGAGATTCCCATACCTATTTATGAATTTGTAACACCCTGTATGTGGCAGACACAACTTGTATTTTTTAAAATAGAACTCTTTGTATATTTATTTCTTATTCTATTCTTAGTAAGTAATCGAATAGACATTTTTTCATATATTGATGTATCATATCGCAGTTGCTTTTTAGAAAATATACAGGGTGTCCATTTAAAAAAACGCAAGTTATACTCATGAGCCACAACTTTGTGTAATTCCTGAATATATAAAAGTTATATGTATTTTCTAGCCGTTCTTGTAAATCCCTATTTACATACTTTGTATTTACATTCTGCTTCATGGTTAGTAAAAAGTACTGCAACACTTAATTAACTGCTAAAGCCGCGTTCACACAATTCGGAATCTGAAATGTTGCCAGATTTCCCAGTTTTGCGCTACAGGTAGTCTTTTTGTTATTTTAAATAACATGCCCCATTTATTTTTATTGCAATGAATTGGGCGTGCCAAACTTGATAAGATTACAAACTTTCAGAATTCTATCGCTTCTAGTTACTGAAATATGACAACACCGTATTTTCGGTGAAAAGTATAGCAACGCTTGAATATCTTCAAACGCCGCTTAAGCACGTTCACGAAATTTGGTTCTATATGGAGGTTTTTAGGCAAGCGAAATTCAACCGTGATATGGACATTGTTGCCAGACTTCCCAGTTTTGCGCTAAACGTAGTCTTTTTGTTATTTTGAATAGAATGCTCCATATATTTTTATTGCAATTGGACGTGCCAAATCCAATAAGATTCCAAATTTTCAGAATTCTATCTGTACTCATGGGCGTCGTTCCATTAGCGCCGCAGGCAACCGCCGTAGGCTAATTTTTTTGGCGCCACGCCCCTTTTTGAGCATTTTAACATACTTATTTGATATCGATATTTATTAAAAATGATGGTATTTAATTCCGCAACAAATTCACTGTCCGCATCATTTGTTTACTTAATTTTCTAATGGCCGGTATTATAAAACACTGAATCGATGATTGAGCTTCAACCTTCGGTTGACTCCATGCAAATTGATAGGATTCAACCGAAGGTTGGAACTTGGAACTCTACCATCGGTTCAGTGTTTTATAATACCGGCCTTAAGTCAAGTGAAATTCAATTCCCAGTGTTGCCAGATGTGGCGCATTTGCACCAAAGCGGCGCTTTCAAAATTGAAATGGCGCCTTAAATTTTGGAAAATGCGCCAGGCGCCCACAAGTGACGCTTTAAGATCGGGACTCGATAAATCACAGTGGCGACAATTGCCGCCCTATTTTTGATTGGTTCTTTAAAATCCCATATATTTAATATCGAAAATAAGCAAGAATATGGCGGCGAGGGGCGTGGTTTACTTCTAGATTCCTATTGAAAATTATCAAGAATATGGCGGCGAGACCTTATTTAGGTTTTAGGGCCAAATTTATAGTCGTTCCTTGAAGGTCGTGAGTTTAGAATGGACACATGGACACTTGCTACAACCTTTAGAAATATATAGTAGGTTTCACACCGGAGTAGCGCCGCAAAAATGCGACGTGGCAACATGCGTCGTATATTAGATTGTTTGCGTGCTTCCTACTTTCTAGTAGCAAGTCGAACGTCGCATGCTACTTTGGTGTGAATACCCACTTAGGATCTGACAAACCCTCAAGAAGCGACTATAAATTCGGCTCTAAGTGCCGCCATTGTTGGTAAAAAAGGTTTATTGAGTCACTGTAGTTAGTAGTTTTGTTTTATTAATTTTTATGGTTGAAATAGATATAACTGTATTGCCTTTGCATAGCCTAATAGCCGCTGTTCAAAGCTCCCACAACTTTTTACTCTTATGGCGCTCTGATGGCGCATTTTAATGTTAAAACTGGCGCATGAAAATTGATAATACCTGGCAACACTGTCCGTTGAATGTAATGTAAATGTCAGCCAATTTTTCAAAGTACCTAACAAATTTTGAAAAAACGGAAAAAAGCAATATGAATACGAACTCTCTTTTACTGCTTTCTTGTTCAAAAGACTATTTCTAGAGGGGGGCAAATGCCCCCCCCTTGCCCCCCCCCCCAAACGACGCCCATGTCTGTACTAGTTGCTGGAAACACCGCATTTTTAGTGAACGGTATATCGGCATTGTTGCCAAGTTTTCCAGTTTCGCCCTTCACGTAGTCTTTTTGTTATCTTAAATAAAATGCCCCATTTATTGTTATTGCAACAAATTGGTCCAAATTTTAATGAAATTCCAAATTTTCAATATCCTTGTTTTACTGTTAGATTCTTCTATAGTGAGAATCATTCTGGGATAGTTATCTACCTTCCTACTTATTTCCTATTTCAGGAGGAGTCGCAAACTTATCGGAAACGCCCGGAAATATGAATACATTTTGAACAAGTAACGTGTATTTAAAAAAAAAAACTATAAGCCACGAGCAAAACTGGGAAATCTGGCAACATTGTGAATAGCACTGTTGAATTCTGCATGCCTAAAAACTGTCCGAATTGTGTGAACGCAGCTTAAGCAGATTTGAAGATATTTAAATGTTGCAGTACTTTTTACTAACCCTGTATATACGGAACAACCTTGTATAGAAAAAAATATACAGTGTGTCCACTTAAGTTCGCAGCATATGGAAAACTTTTTTATTATCAATTTTACGAAAAAAAATTATTTTTTATAAAAGTTTCTGCTTCTTGGAAAAATAGTATTAAACTATTGAAACTTGAAATAGCATGTACAGGGTGGTCAGAAAATAGAAAAATATACAGGGTTTTTTGGTAAAAATATGGAAATGCTATTTTTTTTTCCGTCCATGTCACTATTTTTTAAAACTTTTAATATTTTTTTCAGATTAAGCAAGTCATATTGCAGTCAAAAGATACCATTCATTATCACAAACAAACCTGCCAAATTTGAAAAAAAAAAAATGGAAAAGGGATTTTTGAGTTGAGAAATAGTTATTTATGCAACAAGTGTGTAAAGTGAAAAAAGGTGCTTTACGTACGTATTGCATACAAATTTTTTTCTACTACCAATCAAATATGTATAAAAAAATTAATTTAGACAAATTCTTCACGCACTAGTGCGTGAAGTATTTTCACTTTACGCACTAGTGCGTGAAGTAATTTACCAGAAAAATAATCATTTGACAGGTTGACATCTGTCATTAACATTACTTTACGCACTAGTGTGTGAAGTGAACTACTTCACGCACTAGTGCGTGAAAAATAATTTTACGTCTTCTGAATAGTGCGTAAAGTGAATACTTTACGCACGGTAGTAGAAAAACAATTTTTTCTAAAACTTTGACACCTTGTATCTTAGAAACTACGCATTTCCGGACACATGTTTATGGGAAGTTTTTTCTTAAAATCGCATCCTGAAGTTACAAATCGTACTTAGGAAATACCCTGTATATTTTTCTATTTGTTGACCACTCTGTACATACTGTTTAATACTATTTTTTCAAGAAGCAGAAACTTTTATAAGGAATAACTTTTTTTCGTAAAATTGATAATAAAAAAGTTTCCCATATGCTGCGAACTTAAGTGGACACACTGTATACTTTATAGGTATATTAACTATGTCGTGAAGAATGTTACCTATATGACTTAAATAAATAAATATGAATCAATTTACGATTTTGGGAAATTATCATTTCCAGATTTTTTCCCAACAAGCGAATGCGCCAGTCGACCATTACTAAACCCCAAACTTCATTCGCGCATCGAAATAACGTCAATTTCCAGTGACGCTGTCGAAGTAGGCTGTCAAGTCAACTATCAAAACTATTTGGCCCTCTGTCAAACGTCAAAGTTTTACTGCAAACACGGCAAATGGGTGGGAATGTATCCGAGATGCGGTAAGTACTACTGAATATAATATTTGTACGAAATTTAAGTACAATTATTTTTAGTCGAGGCCCGTACCTGTAAACCACCGCCCACTATAGCTTACGCCGTAGCTGTCAACCATAATTTCGACACTACGTATACCGACGGTATCCCTTTTTATCCTATAAACGAACAAATGAGGTACGAGTGTTTGAAAGGATACGTCATAGATGGCAGTGCGGTGATCACTTGTCAACCTAACGGGTGTTGGGAACCCACTGAATTTTGGCCTACATGCGTTAGAACCAAAGAGAGCTTTTTTAGTAAGACGATTTATTTGTTTGGTATATAAAATTTTTATTTGGAAATTTTTTAGTTGAATTAAATGATATCAATGCCATTCTGATATCCAGCGCAATTGGAGCGGGCGTTTTAGGCATTTTACTATTCGCCTGTTTATTGGCTGCTTGTAAAAAACGCCGGGCGCTGACCAGGGCAGTGTCAGCGCTTCCCGCTACTTCCGGTGGGGGCGCTACTGAAATTGTCAACGATCACGCTGTTTTGCTACAACATCCCGATCGCTTGGCTTTAATCGCTTTTGCTGACGGAGTACAAAATAGTCAGGTAATTATGATTATTGCAACATTATTATGTAAAGGAAAAAATATGGTTGCGACCCTGGTACAGAAAACCGGTGACCATATAGGGAAGAAGTTCGCCTAGTTTTCAGACTTATAACGGACACAAATAATTATTATTGAATTGCGCAAAAGGAAAAAATTGCATCAATAATTTTAGTTTTTTTTTGATTGAATTGATTTAATCATTGATAGGCTACGTCGTTGCCGTCATACGATGAAGCCACCCGAGACGGCCGATCGACGCTGATCCAAGTGAGCCGCCTGCAAATCCAACGTCCCCATTGGCCGAATTTGACAGTTTGTCGTACGAGCGCGCGCACTCGAGGCTCGCCGAACAATAACGATGCAACTTCGGGCAATCACCGACACGGATCTTTGTAAGTAGAATTAATATGTTAATTTGCTGTGCGAAAAAAAAATCACTTTCAACCGCCATTTTTAATAATATCGACCCGAAAATTATCGAACGCTTCTCGAAGAATGTTAACAAGATCATGTCCCGTGTGACATTTTAAATGCGCCATTAGTCATATTATCGTCTCCTTGGCGTAGAGAGGAATTCGATTAAATTTAATGTCGACCGGGGCCAAAGAGGCATCGAATTTCTGGCCCGGTCCCGAAAAAATTACGATATTGCGAAGTGGCACGCAGACACGCCGGTGTTGTCGCTTTAATTGATATTGGCAATTAAGAAGCGCTTGTACGGAATTTACTGAAATTACCCTCATCCTCGCTGAGATTGTTTAATAAAACGAAATCCGGCTCGTACTTACCTGTCAGATTAAAATGTTTATATCAATTGTACTAAATTTATTACAATAATTGATCTATTTGTATTATATAGTGGCGTTTCTGATTGGTAGAGTCAGTGCGCACCGAATGTATTTGCATCCTTTCAATCGACCTGTAGAAGAAAAAGACAGAAATAGAAAAAACTGCATTAGTTCCGCACTAGATCTACCAATCGGAAACGTCATAAGAAAAGACGCAGTAACGTTCATTGCGTAAAACCAGGCAAAACGTACCAAAACATGTCAAACCTATAATAGCATTCCATCCAAGATTCAATCCTTCTTATTTGGACTGGATAAAAAAAGAAAGAGAAAGACCATCTGTCACATGTTTCTAAAGCTTGTTCTCAAATACGAGACCGTTTCTGTACACTCCAAAAAAAAAGCTGTTTGAATCGGGCATTCCCAAAAACTCCTAAGATGCCTATTCTAGAAACCAAGGAACAGTGGTCTTATGAGAACAATTGCTCTCTCTTTGTTAGAGTGACGCAAATGAAGATATGAGTGACGAAGAGAAAATATGCATTCTCATGAGAACGCTGCTCCCCTGTTTCAAGAATAGGGACCGATAACTGAGGACCAACGTAGGAAATATTTTACATGTTTCGTAAGTGCGTTCTGAAAAAAAATTAAGCTTAATCCATATTATACTCTTTGTTTCACGAGGGTTTATATTTTTGACACAATTTGCCTTCCTTTTAAAAAAAATTAAAATTGACTGAAACAAATCAATAACGTCAAAAACGTTCGTCGGTTCTTAAATCAGAAGTCATTATTGGGAAATGGACTAAAAAATAAAAGAACTTGTCAATTATCGATATTCAATATATTTATTATATCGAACACAGCGTGGAAAGCAGAGCGTGTGAGCTCCTAGAACTAACTATAGAAAATGACTCACATCGAAAAACAAAGAATTACCTACAAACCCTTTCTAAGTGTGGTAGAAAAACACGACTGTTTTCTATCACACATTTCGGTTTTGGAACGACGTGTTTCATCGTGACGATGAAAACCGTCGTGTTTCATCGTAGTGTATCAGGCCCTTTAATGGGCCCCATACACTTCGTTCTTTCTCATCGGTTTTCATCGTCGCGATGAAACACGTTGTTCCAAAACCGAAGTGTGTGGTAGAAAACCTTCGTGTTTTTCTACTACACATTTCGGTTTTGACACGACGTGTTTCATCGTGGCGATGAAAACCGACGAGAAAGAACGTAGTGTATGGGGCCCATTAGTAAACGATTCCTCATCTGTTATCTTACATATAAAAACAGGTTCAGTCATCCATAGCAATAAATAGGCCTGCTTTCCTTATGTGTGTCTTCTCTAAGGAAAATTACAATAACGGTCCAGCATTTGCTGCTCGAGATTAGGAAGAAAAACCCAGAAAAACCTAATCAAACCATTTAACTTATTCACTAAGCCTAATTTCATTCTAATGTTTTCAAATTTCACTTGCATCAATGATTTGGTAAACGTATTTGCTAGTTGTTTCTCTGTGGACAAACATTTTATATTAATTACACCTTTCTCTATCTTTTCATTGAACAATGATACTTTGTATCAAAATGATCTGATCTTTTGTGATTTGTTGGATTATTTGCAATACTTATGCAACCATTGTTGTCCGTTGTCCTCTTAGGTCATAATTGGCTCTGATATTAATATTTATGTATATTATCTGCTAATGATTTTAACCAAAGAGCCTCTGTGACAGCTTCGAAAAGAAAGTCATATATTCGGCTTCAGTAGATGATGCCGCTACTGACAACTGGCTTTTTGTATTCCAACATATCACACAATTTTCAAACAGTTTAAATAATTATCCTGTTTTATATTGTTTATATCATCTTTACCTTCCTAGTCAGGATTAATAGAATCACTCAAGAAATTAATATATTCACAACTAAAATATTGTGTCAACTTCACATTGATTTTACCCTTGAAATATCTAAGGACCCTTTTCAAATATTGCGAAAACTCTTTATTATTTTTAATACCTGCTCAAAATATTAACAGCGGTACTTAAATCAGGCTTGATATACATAACATAATATACATTAAACAGACGATTAGATTCCGGCAAGGGCTATCATGTTTTTCTTTTGAATTGAACCAATCAAATTCGGTTTACTAGGAAGTGGAGTGCTGACACAGCTGATGGCACAACAGTCATGCATATTAAATTTATGTAAAATAGTACATACCTATGTGAAAATTGATCAAGAGTAATTTTATTTTGATTACCTTTTTATTTCAATACCCAAAAATAGTTTACTGTCTTTCAAATAAACCATAAAACAGTTATTTGCCAAATACCTTTCGAAACTATTCAATTTATTATTATCTGCAGTGGCAATTACCATTTACATAAAAAGCTACCTAAATATTTTTACATATTGCACCTCGTCTAAAGTATAAATACAGTGGTCAATGAGGAAATTGCATAAAATTTTATTTTCATGCAAAATGTATTTAAAATGAAGCAAAATACTCTAGAAGTATATTTCCATATTTCAAATCCTCTTTATACTGAACCACTAATAAATAATTAATTATTCAAATATTGAATATAACAAAGGGCGCGAAAACGCTCTTAAATTGGTTATGACGTCATGGAACGGTAAACAAACAAAAGTGTGGTTATGATAACGTGATACGTGAGCCTTCAGACGCTTGTGTTTACATCGAATTCTACCAACGGATTTACCATTTTATGTCGGTCATTGTCATTTTCCATTAACTAAACAAAGATACCCATATATATTTGTTACTATCATTACTACACTATATCTTTCTCTCTCTTAATGTATATAGGGTGTGAGTTCACTGGAAGAGAATTGATTTCCAAAATCAACGTAACACTATCTTTGTTTAGTGAATGTAAAATGACAATGATCGACATAGTCGCATAAACCAATGACAAAACACAATGGGTAAGAGAGAGAGGGAGTACAGAGACTCGTTTTGACGGATACCGTCTTGTGACGTCATTCATTTATGAGTGCGTTTTGGCGCGAAGAAAGTTATTCTGAATTTCTATATTTTTTTACAGAAAAACTATTAGTTGAAAATTTAAAATTTATGTGGCAAGTGACTTTTTACAATGTGAAAAATTCAATAAGAGAATAAAAAAAAAATGTGCAAGTGCAAATTCCTCATTGATGAATTTTCAAACCCATTTTCTCTAAAGACGGTTTTACACTGACAATTTATTGGCCAATTTATTGATCAAGTCGCTTGTCAAGAAATATTGATAATGTAGAACGTCAAGTTGGCGGCAATTTAACTTGTCCAAGTTCTCGCTCAATTTATTGACAAATTAGTGCATGTTCTATTTTTCCGTCAATTTTTGTGTCAATTCAGGCTTTGAACTTAAAAATGACTCTTTGAAAATATTAAAGCTAGGTGTTGAAATTCAGGTTAAGTTGGTAGAATTGTTTATTGTCATTTCTGTTGTCAACAAGTTGATCCGGTGTAAAGCGAATTTGAGCCATTGTGGAGCCAACATAAATTGACAAATAAATTGACAAACAAATTGACCTTTTGCTTGGACGCCATATTGCGGTGCGCGAACATAGCTGCCAAAAGAAGAAAACAAAAATTACTAGCGGACTGACAACATTAAAAACAAAAGTAACTAAATCCTCGCTATCCTTTTTGTTTGTTTACTTTCTCTCTCTGATTCTATAAATAATAAAGTCTATTGTACTCATAACCGCGAAATTCGCTCTTTTTTGACACTGCTTCAAAAATTTGACGTTTGATTCACGCACAAAACGTCAAATTGTCGAAGCAATGTCAAAAAAGAGTGAATTTCGCGGTTACGAGTACTAGGCTTGAGAAACGAAACCGAAATTTGATAAAGTGAATAGGTAGATATTTTATTATTTCTATTCTGTCCAATACAAGTTGAAATTGATGGCTTTTCTTTTCAAAAACATTCGTAATAGGCGGAAAATTTAAATTTTAAATGTAATTTATTCAGTAACTTTTGTTTTTAATGTTGACAGTACGCTAGTGGTTTTTCTTTTTCTACTTTTGGCAACTATGGTCGCGCACTGCAATATGGCGTCCGAACAAAAGGTCAATGGATCAATTTAAATTGTCAGTGTAAAACTAGCATAAGAACCTTTTTTATTATTTCATACCAACATTTAGTGGTTTGTTTTTGTCCATAGATACAAAGCCTTATAAACTTGGTTAGGTTTACTTGTCACACCTTGAGCCAGCCACCCTTCAGCCTCCAGGAACCTTCATAAAAATGGCTTCCTTCAATGTCTCATTCGGGAAAACTGTTTTTACGTCCATATGATGTACTAAAAGGGTAAACTGATTAAAAGGTTTTTATAAACCAGAATCTTACGAATTTTACCACCTGTGTAAAGGTTTCATTATGTACTACCAAGTATTCTTGACTAAAACCACTAAGGAAGCTTTGTATCTAAATGGTTTTCCAATTTCATCATTTTCAATCGAAAATATCCATTTACGAGCCACTATATTTTTATTTTCGGGTCATGATACTAACGACCACGTTTTATTTACCAATAATGAATAAATATCACTTGGCAGATCTGTTT